AACGTCTCTCAGTCTGGCTTGTAAAATGCTTTTCTTTCCATCTGTTTCGCATTCCCTCTCTTCCAATACGCATTTTAATTCCGACACTTTCAAGTCTTTCAACAATTTTTTCGGAGCCATTGTCTGTCTTTTTATTTTCCTAGTCTATCACACACGCCACACTTGACACCAATTGTTACGTTTTTCGTCGGTTCCGTGTGGATAGAAAGTCACGATTTATTTAAACACTATTTATTTAACACTAATTAACAAAACTAATAACGATAAACGACTTATAGAACTATTTACAAACGATTTATAACTAAGAATTTATTTTGAATTTTAGCGCGTCAACTGTATATTTATAACTGCCCCTGTAGGCCACGGCCGCCGGCTTTATACCGGCAGGTAAAGAACTCTAGAATTGTCCATAGATCGTTAGGTGCGTAGAGAAGGTTTTCGAATGTTCTCGTATGTACTAGTCCATTCAAGTGGGACTCGATTCTTCTCGAACGAATGAATCATTGCGGTGTCTATGCGATGTTAAGGTCATCCGAGGGCGGGCCATATTGTGAGGTTAGGTCGAGTCCACACCGGCCCGCAACAATATGAACAATTTCACCTGGGTCGCGTATGCTCCGTCCGGATGAGCTATCTTGAAAAAACATCCGTGCGGACGCACTGCGCGTACGGTCCGCTCCATCTGAAAGCGCTGTTACTCTATTTAAAATTTTTATAGATATACAAACCACATACAAAATATATTATTGAATAAAATAATTAAAGACTCAAAAAAACGTGCCGTTATCTCCAGGTATCTCAGTCGGCGTTCTCCAGTTTTTTTTTAATGTAAACAGTCCGAATATAATTTAAATTTATCATGAATTCCTTTAATTTATCTAGCTTGTTTTTTTACCTATTTTGAAATTAAACAAATATATACAGGGTGTTTCAAAAAACATGTTCCATCTCTCGTGGGGAAGTTCCTCACGTAAAAATAAGATTTATTTTTTATATCAACCAATCCAATTCTGCTTTGATTCGTAGCTACAGGGGGTTAAAATAGGGTTCCCAACCGTCCTCTATTCCAGAAACAGTCCTCTTTTTGATCTGATTGTCCTCTTTTCTCTCACGTATTGAAAAAAAAAACATTTGAGTCATTTTAACTTTGTTACATACCGACTTTAAAACAACTTTTTTTTTGTTGACAAAACCGACTTTTTTTTTGTTGACAATGGTTTGCTTTATTTTAATAAGTTTTGAGTATAAATATTTTTGTGTATTTTAAATATTTGTCGCATATCGTTTATATAACTTTTTGGTAAATTCTCGACATTTGAGCGACGTTTCAAAAATGTTTCGCCTGTGCCTTTTTTTATCCTCTCGCCCCTATTTTTTATTTTCAAAGTTGCCAACCCTAGGTTAAGTGTTTTATCATTTTCTTCCAAGTGCTTTTAGTAATTTGAGATCGTTTGATGACTGATTAAGTTCTGATCCGGGTAGTTTTTTGTATAAAACAGTGCCACCATCGTCGATTTTTTTCGTTAAATGCGAATAAGAAAATATCCTGATTATATTCTGGCCTTATCCCTTATTATTTTTATTTACAAGCGATCTTAAGTTTATAACACATACATAAATAAATTTAATTGTTAACATTAGAGTAGTTTTACCAATTGTGTATGTGTGGAATTCCACTGATATGTGTTTTAAGTTGATTGTTAAATTTTTAAAATTTTTTGATTGTATTTTGCTCTCCTAACTTTGTAGTGTCCTGAAGATGCAAATAAATTTTGCGAAGCGTCGACAAATTTAAAACAGAGGACTTCTGTTTATTTTTTTCGATCCTAATCGAATTAAAAAACACATTATACTTAAATTTATTAATTAATTTTTTAAAATATTGAATGGTATCGAATAATACTTTAATATATTTATCAATATTTTAAAGTATCGATACTTTATATTCAATACAACCGATACCAAAATATCGATACTGCCTCAGTATCGCATAGCCCTATGAAGAATTTTGTGGGTTCGCCCTTGGTTCGCCAAAGGCTCCACTGAAAATGGATAGCCGCGAGACAACGCCGTTTGACTGGGCAGGGACTCTGCTCGAGGCTAAATCGCTCGGCTCGAGGCTATAATATGACGAATTCCGCTTGAGGTTGACTCGTCTCGTCCTCGTCTCGGCATATTAGTACGCCTTTTGGAAAGAATTTGCTATAGCCTCGTTTCACCCAAGCAGCATTTGGACGTCGGGACAACGTTGTGTCACGCGACCAAACGTCGGTGCGCAACGTCGGCACAACCTCGTGCCAACCCTAGTCTGCACTAGTTTGGAGAATAATTTTTTGGGTCGAAACGACGTTGGATACCGACGTTGGCTAGAAGCCTAATTTAGTACAAACTGCAACGTTGTTTAAAATCCTAATTCATAGAAATACAAAACTAATATGACGTCTAAGTCGCGTTTTATCCTAAATTGGGATAATTATAGTAAAAATATTATTTTTATGATTTAGTTAGAGACATATGTCAGATGGCAGTGAAGGAAAACAAAACAAAAGTATTTAAGTGTGGAGGATGTTTGAAGATCATAATTATTGAAACACTTTAACCGACTCTGTAACTCGTTACCCAAGGCAAAAAAGTTAAACGCAAACAACTTTATTGATAAATGTATTGTTTCTACTTTGAAAAATACTAATGGGCCTTAAAATTAAAGAAGTAATAATTTTAGTAAAATGAGAATAATTTATTCGCAGTCGAAAAAATTGTTTCCGCGTGTTTTTTAGGGTCAAATATTTCAAGTTAATGTATTCAAAAAGCAGGAATTGCTATTTTAGGAACGAAACATTTTCTTATTTAACAACATGGCTGCTTTCACTTTGTTGTTTTGGAGATTAAGATGGAGTAGTTCGAGTAGTCGCATACTGGACTAATAAAGTCGCAGTTCGGCCTTAACAGGTAGTATACTAGACGCAAGATTGCCTAATTTAGTCATCCTAGAGTCTAGCTTGTGCCGCCCTCTATAATCTAAATAAACGAGGGAGTGGATAAACTATCGGTAATATATGTCGATGTATATTTAAATTTAGTTTTATATGTACCTTTCTTATGTCCCATTTTAATTAAGTTTTTATAAAAACAAAAACAGCACTGAACTGTCTGACTGAACAGAACAATGAAGTGAAAATTTAAGATTTAAGGTTATGGTTCAATACAGTTGCAAAAAAGGTAGTGACTCGACGTCCTACCAACGTAAGAATAAGGAAATCTAAACAACGTTGGAATTAGTAAAACAGACGACGTTTGCATAACGTTGGAATAGGTCCTGAAACTGACGTCGGAAAACTCAATATTGTCCAACGTTGTAACTACGTTGTCCGATTCACCTAAAGATCACTTAAGCAAAAAAGGTTACAAGACAACGTTTATTCGACGTCGCAGAAGCTTCTACTTTGCTGTAGTACTAGTCCAACGTCGCGCGTCGGCACAACGTTATAAAAACGTTTAAATTTATTTTAATACCCAAGGTAGGGAGCTAACTATTTTTTGTAACTAATCCAACGTTGTATTTAGTAAACATGTGGTCGCAAGTCGTGAAAATGCTACTTGGGCATACTCGTTTCGGGTTTGTCTCGTACTTGCCTCGGCATATTTATACACGGCTTAAGATACTCTCTTTTAAAACAAACCTCGAAGAAAAACGCGAGAGAATTGCTGCCTTGTTAAGTCGAAAACACAATATTGCCAAATGTAAAAAATATTCGAAAACCGTAGACAAAAAAAATGTATTATTCAAATACCAACATAAAGCAGTTCTAAGCTCAAGTAGCTCCAATAAGGATCAGATTCTATGATCAACTATATTCTATATAAGGAAATCCTTATGTTTTTCTTTTTAATTTGTAATAATTCTCTTGAACTTTATCGGACTTCCTTCATTCTTCCGCAATACTTCCCTGATATTTCCTCGTACTTCCCCATACTTCCTCGCACTTCCTCAATACTTCCTAAACTTTCTCTATACTTCCCCTACTTCTTCCATACTTCCCGTACTTTCTCGCATACTTCCCCCTTTTTGTACACCAACTTCGCCAGCGGTTTCCCCCTCGCTGGAATCTAAGCAAGGAAAATATATAAAGTCAGTGATTAAACTGGGATAGTACCAACACTACCAACGCATCACATAACTGCTTTTTTAATGATTCTTTCAAAATATGTCTATTTTTGAGATAATTTTAAATTGATGGTCACTTCCCCTATAAATTGATGGACAAATACTCTGTAATTTCTTCATGTAGTCAACATATCGAAACTAGCCACATCGAAAGTTTCAACTCACAATAATGGTTTTCATTCATTCCTTAAATTTTATCTAATGGATGTTTCTTTTTAAGCTATTTTGCTAATACTTAATTGTAAAAGCTAATTAAAATTAAATTTAATATGTCAACACTCTTTTTTGAGTCGGGAAGTCTCACTTTCATTTCTCTCACTTCCTTTCATGTCTCTAATGCAATAACAGTGCAGTAATAACATACACCAACCCTAATATTTCAAAAATAATATAACCTTTTCTTTAGATAATAATACTTGTTACTATTGCAATATACATCTCGTTTAAATATACTTACTTCTATGCTTATATTTGGGGAGCAGACTTTCTAAAAATAGAAAGTTTCTATATGCATTTTGTCCATTTTTTCAAATTTTGGCTAACAAAGGAAAACTGTGACGCTTTTTGCGGAATACTTACCGATAAACAAGGAAGACTTGAAAATAGATAAAAATCATAAAAATAGTACACGTACATGTGAAAAATCTAGTTTTGATGATATCTAATAAATTGAAAACAAAAACGAAGAATGGGGTAAAATGCATCGTTTCTGGCGTAATATTGTAACTCAGTGTATGTAATTTGCTATGCCGCCTTTTTGGTTCAAAATCTTAAAAAATAGACAAAATGCATTTAGTAAGTCTGCTCCTCATTTATTTTATTCTCTAATTTTCAGCTTATACCGAGCAGATATTGCCACAGCTGTTGTTTTGATTTCCATGGGCGTAGTTTTAGGTAGAACATCATATACACAGCTAATTGTAATGGGCATTTTAGAAATAGTTGCATATTCTGCAAACAATTATTTGAATTCAACAATTTTTAAGGTATTTTTTTTAATTAATCATATAAAACAATACAAAATATTATGTCGTAAGTCACGGTATTTTATTAGATTTTCGATTATATTTTAATAAAAATACTCGACAAATGCATGACACGTTTCTCTTTTCTAAATATTTAATTTTTAATCGGTTAAATTTGATGCTTTATTTTTTTAATTATCAAAACTTATCCTTATTACATTAGCGTACTGTGATAATTAGTTTAATAAAGAAATAAAAAACTTTAATAATAAATCAGTACTCAGTAGAAGAATAATTATAATTTCATAACTATACATATCAATTTTTGTCCCTTTTGTTATAGAAAATAAATATTTTTTTTGGCATGGTTATTTTCAATATTTATAACCGTTAAAGTAAATATAGTTCTCGTAAAGCATACATTCTTTTAAATATTTTTATCGTCAAGGTGAAACGGAATTATAGAAATTGCAATATAAATGTTAGCAACTTGTATAAAATTAGTTGCTCAGGGGACTGCATGTTTTACTCTTCATGTTTCCCATTAAAGTTTGTCAACCACTTGACCGCGGCATGGCGCAACACGACGCCACGTGTAAATTTCTTTTATCTTCTTGCCAGAAGTCGGAAGACTTCTCTGTATTCGCGACTTGGTAACGAAAATAATTTTGCATATCGAGTCGCTTCAGCTAGCTTTTTGACCCGGAACAAGTGATACGTATCAATGTTAGAATTGCATTTTTAATGGGAAACTAAGGAAACAGAGTTTCATAAAGAAATATGATATTTTTTTAGTCTCTCCGTTCCATCTGTCTAGTAATAGACAGATGGACAAAATGTTTTTCTATCAAAGATTTAATATAATTGAGGAGTGTAGAAGCAAAACCGGCAATCTCCACGTTTCAGCAAAAGTGACAATCTCCAATTTCTAATTACCTGAAAACATCAAAAAGATCAAAATATATCAGAATAAACAAGAATTATCAAAACACGTCAACTATAAGCGATTTATTATTGCATTATTAGAAATTTGTATATATACAGGATGCTACAAATTCGAGGGGGCTATCTGATATGGTATTTTTAGATTTTCAATTTAGCTGATAATTTGTGAGATACAGAGTCCAACTTATTTTCTTTAAATACGGACCTGCATTTTTTATTTCAGGTTTTGAAATAACTCGGTCTCCTGATGTCGGCGCGCATTTTTACCGACCCTATACACGTTCAGCGCTCCGATTTGCCGAAGATATAGGATGCATGTTTTTACTAATCCTAGCTGATTTCCGTATTTCGCGTTGATATGTAGGGTTAGTAACAAGACCTCCTGCATATTTTCTTGAACTAAGTACTGATTATGCAAAACTGAGGAATTATTAAATTTACATAGAGTATATGTGGAGGGTTGCATATGCTGGAGGGTTAGTAAGAGAATCTCCGGCATATTTATTTGAACAAAAAGTCATTATTGCATCATGCATTACTAAATTTACATGGAATTCTAAAAATCATTTTATAAATGATGTTTTAGATATGTATTTGGTTTTTATCTACTTTTTTCATATATAGCCGTGGTTTATTTAAAGAAACATCGAAAAAAATCGCTTAAACCAATGAAAAAAAGGCATAACAAAAATGATATATTGAAAATTAACTCGTACAGGGTGTTCGACGGAGAACTGAACAGGGGCTTATTTTTGCCTTTCTCAAATTTTTGAAAAAATCGATGCATTGATGTATTAACTATAGAATTCGAAAAATTAATTAAAATAAGAGTTAAGTCTTCCTTGGAACACCCTATACATATTTTATGTAAAAGCAGTTATTTAAAAAAACTATAAACGATTTATTAGCAAATACTTATAATATTTACATGGCTAAGTAAGTAACAGAAAGGAAAAACAAAACATTAGTCCTTTAGCATTTACTTATTCGCCAACTCGATGTCCTTACATTGAAGTTCTGATCCTGGATAAGGTTCAGCCGGTAGGTGGTGTATTTCCCCTTGCTCCTCGGCAAAAAGACCGTCATGGCCTCCCCTTTAGAGATGTTTTCTCCCTTCACTGCAACTAGTTCCGGCTCTTGCAAATTTTTAAGCTTAGGTGCGATTTCCACCAACCAATTCGCCGACTCTTGAGATACACAATCTATGAAGATCATGCCCACCCGAAAATGTATCACTGCAAAACGCAGCTGACCCACATTTTGTAGATCGTTGTGTTGCGATCCGATTGCCACTACTTCGTCAAGTATAGCCTCTTCTAGAGACGTTTGCTAGTCGGTGATCAGAGCAACCTTTGGGAAATCCTTTGGCAGCACCACCATTTTCGCTTGTCCAACAATAGCGGCAAAGCTGGTGATACGTCCCTGCTTTCCTCCCGGCGTTGGACGGCTTTCCTCTTCTTCTTCATGTGCCTTCTCCTCATCGGAGGTTGGCGACCATCAAATGGAATTATTCCCTGTCTTGAGCCAAACGGATAATTGCACTGGCCTCTCCTATATTAAACCACTGGCGCAAATTCCGCAACCAGGAAAACCGTTCACGCCCGATGCCTCGTCGTCCTTCAGTCTTTCCTTCAACGATCAGCTGTAGGAAACTATATTTGTTATTTCGAAAAATATGACCAAAATATGCTGCTTTCCGTCTTTTTATTGTAGTCAATAGTTCTTGGTCCTTAAACATTCTTTCTAATACTTCGAGATTTGTTGTTCGTTCGGTCCAGGATATTTTCAACATTTGTCGGCTTTCCATCCTGGCTTTTTTCTCTCCCTGCCGGAAAGGAGGTGAGAGGTTCTCGCTCCCTCTCGTGCCCTTTGATGGAGATGGGTCAGGTTTTTTTCTTGGTTTCTTTACTCTCCCCTTTCGGAGGAGTGTTTTTGCTTTTGCTTCCTCTGGACCAAGTCCTTCGTAGACCAATCGGAGGTATCTTCGTGCTTCTGCTCCGCTAAGACCTACTCTCAGAGGATCGTCTAGCCCGCCTGGTTGACCCAGGCCGGGTAGATGAAACGGTAGCTTGTGTTATTGGGTCTAGAGATAGGCTCGCGACCCTTGCTGGACTGGTTTGTGTGCCACTTGTGGAGGATGATGATCTCAAACAAGTGTAAGCCGCCTCTCTTGTAGTTTCCTTTGGATTTGGTCCCTTGGAACTTTCATTGGTAATGCTCCCAGTGTCACCACGGGCTTCCCCACAGCTTCACCGGTGGTGTTTTTAATACTAGATCTTATAGTTTCCCACGAGTCACTAGAGATAATCGGTCAACTTCTACAGACCCCGCATGTAGAAGTAAGGGGTAAATACAATGGGGTGCCCCCTGATACCCCAAGATTGAGACCAGTAAAGGCTAGTCTCCTGTCTAGCCACGCATCCCTTTAACCTGATTCTGCCATGTTAGGATTTAGGATTTTGGTGAGGTTGCCTCCTCTTGGTCCGGGCGGTAAAACCAAAACCCCCCCACACCCTCTACCCGTGAGACATAACCACAGACACTAGAGGGTGCCTGGTATGACGGACAGGATTGCTATCGTTATATGTCTTGGTGCAATTCCCTGACCACGACACTACAGCCAGAGACAAGATAATGAGATGCTTCTCAGACCGAGCTAAAGTGCTAGAGGAGATTCCCCCAGCACCTGACAAGGAGCTACCCCACCAACGACAAGGTCTTGCATCTCCTAGGGAAAGAAACTTGCCTACCTTACTTATTTACTAGCATTCTTAAATTCAATGATTTGTCTATTTGTGATGACGAAACAAAACTTCAACTATAAGAAGTAAGCAAAAATTCGATGATGTAGAGGTAAACCATATTTAAAAATTGTTCATCGAAATAGATTTTCAACGAGAATCAAATTATTACTGAATACTTTAAACTGAATTTCATTCCTCACGATTCAACTGTCGTGCCGTTCAATATTGTATACCAGAATATCAGTAAGTGAAGCAAACCGGGGTTGGTTTCAGTTGCAACCGAAAATTTGGATTAGATATCTTCTAGGAGTTTAAAAAAAAACATAGTAGGATTTGCAGCAACTATTCCCATTAAAGAATGTTAAATGCATTTGATAACATAAACATAATATTTTGCTTCGTATATATTTAATACGTGTCAGTATTCATATAAAACACATTATAAACAATTTATTAGTAAGTTTTTAGGCAGTTGATGTGGGTGGATCAGTAGTAGTACATTCGTTTGGTGCATATTTTGGTTTGGCCGTAAGTTACATGTTAGGAAGGAGCCACAATAATTCTTCCTGTTTCAAAGTTGAAAATATTCGAGAGAGCTCTTACACGTCTGATTTACTAGCAATGATCGGTAAGTGTATTATATTTTTTGGGAACTAAAAGAATTTCGGAGTGTCATTGGCTTTATTTACTTTAACTTACACAACGATTCGGTTTCCGACTGACCAAATGTAGACTAATCTAAATTAATAAACTACTGAGCTTATATGTATAGGTACTAGAGAAATCTACGCATCCGTTAAAAGTTCGGTGCAGTCAAGCCCGATGTTGTCTGCTGAGGATGCCAACATTTGACCTTTGACAAGTGGTTGCCATATTGTTTAAACGTTCCATACTTGGATTGCTAAGGATTACCTATAACGATATGTTTTTATATTAATAAATACTATTTCTTGCCTTTAACTGTGTATTTTTTCTAATTTCGAAAAATCGAAAAGAGAAAAAAAAAGTAAAAAGGAAATTGCTTTGCTTGTCGTAAAGGGGGGAACCAAGCTCCACTCCCACCACCGGTTTCTGGGCCTACCCTTCATCAGGTGGGCTGTCCAGGGGCTGGTTCTCTATGGCAGGCAAAACTTTTTCAATATCAACAGACGATGTAAAGTGTCGGTGAGATATTAGTGCATCTTCCGTCAAAGGATGGTAATGAGCGTTTTTCGGCCCACTCAAATATATATGAAATTAACAAAATTCTTACAGCTTTAGTGTATATTAATAAATAATATTTCTTGCCTTTGGCTGTATATTTTTTCTAATTTCGAAAAATCGAAAAGAGAAAAAAGAATTAAAAAGAAAATTGCTTTGCTTGTCGTAAAGGGGGGAACCAAGCTCCACTCCCACAACCGGTTTTTAATATCTCACCGACACTTTACGACATCGTCTGTTGATATTGAAAAAAGTTTTGCTTGCCGTATCGGTGAGAACCAGCCCCTGGACAGCCCACCTGATGAAGGGTAGGCTCAGAAACCGATTGTGGGAGTGGAGCTTGGTTCCCCCCTTTACGACAAGCAAAGCAATTTTCTTTTACTTTTTTTTCTCTTTTCGATTTTTCGAAATTAGAAAAAATACACAGCTAAAGGCAAGAAATATTATTTATTAATATACACTACAGCTGTAAGAATTTTGTTAATTTCATATACAGTCCTGGTCATTTAATTACTGTGTATAAGATTTTAATGGATACGACAGAGAATAATACAATTGACCGGTTGACAGAGAGAGACGCAAAATAAAAGCTGGGGGGATACAGTGTTGCCGGTTCGTAAACGTGTAGGCGGGATTAAGAATGAGCATGGTGGGAGCACAAATCGACTCCGATACCGATGATAATTCGAGACTGCACTCAATGTTGCCAGATAAACTTCCTCTAACAACCTCTTCATAACAATAGCATATTGTCAAATAATATCATTAGTTAGAATAGTTTTCGTTTTCTGGTTAGAATTTTTGTTTTAAATCTCAATAAAGAAAAATTACATTTAAAAAAAATAAACTACTCAAAACAATTATCGCATATTTTCTAAAAAAATATTAATTTGAAAAACAAGACATTTTGAATTCCCTGACTTGGACTGTGGAGGGAAATTCGATAAAACAAGCCTACGCGCAGACCTATAATTTTTAATCGGCCGACTATTTAGTTGCAAAAGTGAAAGCAATACATACTTATGAAGTCGATCGGCCGACTATTTGATTGCACGTGGACCATAAGAATATATTCATATATATCCATAAGAATATATTGGTTACAAATATGCAACTAAATAATCGGCCGATTAAAATTACCTGTCAGCGCAAAGCCTAAGGCTACACAATGTAATCAAATATTGGCCCGATCGGCTCCATAAGAATGTATTGTTTTCACTTTTGCAACCAAGTCCAAAGTCGGCCGACTAAAAATTACATGTCAGTGCATACCCTAATTATCCTAAAAAACTCACAAGAGAAAGACAGAAAAATGCATGCTTCAGTTAGAAATATGTAATAATTACTTTTATTCAAATATGCGATAATTGTTTTGAGTAGTGTATAATTATTAAAAAATATTTTCTGATGATACTATTAGAAATGTCAAGTTTGGGAACAAAATTAAAACACACATTAAATTTTGTCTAAAAAATATGTTTTCCGAAAATTTACTTCTATGATTTAAATTTTAATTCTTACTAGATTTAGGGAAATTTCCTACACCTGGCAACTATGACTAATATTCAAGACAATCAAAGACGGTCAAAGGACCGTCTCCATGTTAAGAGATTTCTTACTTCTTTCCCCCACCACTTGATATGTCATACCTGATTGGTCTCATCTCCCCACTCGAAGATTTGGAAGCCATTTGGAATTTCTGTCGCCACGTGTCACCCATGAAACTCTTGAGTCATAGGCGTACTAATATTTTATTTCCCTTTAGATTTAGTATTACAGCCAATTATAGTTTAAAAGTTTTACTTATGAATTCTGTAAAATTTAATTTTCTAGAATTGTTATAAGAATCGTTTTATGATAGCTGACAAAGTTTAAGACGGAAGATGATCGATGCGGGGCGTCGTCGATGCTGTTCGTGGATACGATCCGTTAGTTCGTCTGGAAATTTGTCCATTTTGTTCGTTATATTTCTTTTAATGGTTCACCCAAAAATCGATATTCTGTCAAATCGCCGCGCAACCCATCGCACGGACCCGTTCGCGCTAGAGGTGTGTAGTTCGTGAACGAACTAGTTCCAATGAACTATTCCAACATTCGGAATGAAAGGAACTAGTTCCTCAGGACCTATTCCGGGATCGAGACTGTGACCGATATACATGTATAATAATATGCGACGGCGAGAGATCGGCCAGCGCGCGTAGCCCGATGCTAGGCAGGAGTGGGGAGTGCCAGCCATACGTTATCGGATCCGGACCTAGAGGAACTAAAACTAAATAAAAGACTAGTTTACGTACGTACGGATCGGGCCAGCGCCATCGATGCTAAGTAGGAGTGGGGAGTGTCAGCGTAATGTTATCGGATCCGGACCTAAAGGAACTAGAAGAAGTAAATAAAAGACTAGTTTACATATCAGCCAGCGCGATTAATGCTAGGCAGGCGTGGGGAGTGCCAGCCGTATGTTATCGGATCCGGACATAGAGGAACTAATTAAAATACTAGTTCACGGGAATCTATTCAGTCGGCAGATCCGAGATATAATACAAGGCGACGACGATGGATTCGGCATTGTCTATTGCCACAGCCGGCGTAATTACCACAGAAAATTGTCGTAAATACTGTTTCTGATTTTTAGCTTGTCTTTTAAATATTTTATGGAAATGTTCACTTCAGGTCCCTAAAATTCAGACATATCTTATAAAACGAAGTAAATATTCTGAATTTTTAGACAATTTTTTTTTCGTAAAATTTTTGTAATATTTGCTCCAATTGATTTGTGACATAGTTTTTTAAACTCTAATTTGAGTTTCTTTTTTATTTTTTTTATCTGCAATAAAACTTACCTATATGTTTTTAACATACACAATTACACGTCTCGTTATATCTCCGTACATTATAAAAATTATACAGATCATACTGTGAATAGTTTTGACTGACAACTAAACGCATTAGCAAGCAAGGGGGATGTCAATGTTAGTTGGGAACTATTGTGAACTAAAGACCTAGTTCAAGGAACTATTCCTCTGGAGGAACTAGAACTAAGGAACTAGTTCCTCCCAGGGAACTAGAATTCCCACCTCTAGTTCGCGCAACTAGTATGGTAAGTATTGGTCTTTATTATAATGCTGTAAATGCTTACTTTAACACTTAAATAAAAACTATACATTTGTATATTTATGGTTCTAGTTGTGCTACCTTTTGAGGGCTGTAAAATAAATGATTTATTTATAATAATATTAAATTTCTGCGGGGTGGTGTAACTAGTGTTACAACGGTTGTGAGTATGGTATTACATTATTATAATGTTATAATATGAAATATACCTACTACCTATTTTGTCTAATATTGGTACAGAAAACTTATCAGTATAAAGTTTTACTTATCTTTATGCCTTTTTAATGCTGTTTGTAACCCTCTATGTCTATAATAATGGACAACGAGTAATTAGTAATTCTGAATATATCTATAAGAACTTTTAGTTTTAAGTACGCCTATGACTGAAATGCAGCGCCCACCTTCTCCTTCTAGTCAGCGGCCATAATGTCAGGGTCCATCAGAGTCAAGGATGAGTAGAGATAAATAAATTTAAATTTATTAATTTTAGGGCCTGCTCTATTCTAACATGTAAGAAATATTTATTGATGGATAAGTACGGCAGATATGTAATAAAAAGCCGTTTTGTATGAATACCGAAATGGTATTTGAAGAACATATTATAATCAAATTATCAAATTGAATTGATAATAAATTTATGTGCCCGTGTTTTATAAGCCGTCTGCAGAAAATTGACTATAGTAATAAAAAGATGACTCATGTCAATGTTTATCCCAAATTATAAATCGATAAGAGTTCTCATTAATAATAGTAATGTGGATATATTTTCCAGAACTTACTTTAACTTTATTTAAAAATTACTTTTTTACTTTTGTACTAGTTTATAGCACTTAACAATATAATCAATCATTTGTCCGTCATCAATGTATCATATACACCTCTATAATTATTTAATACATAATTACAATGATACATAATTATACTGATTACAATGGTCGACATGTCAACAATAGAATTTGCGCTATTTACTACGTTATGTAATTAACTGATTATCTGCCATATTAGGTATCTGCGGATGTACGTCACTAACGTAATAAAGAAGCAAAAAATAACCAAAAAATAAACTAACCAAAAGGTTAGTTTATATTTAATAATACGTGGCTTTGGGTGCCAGTTGTCGTGTATATGAAGAGCACAGTAAACATGTTCAGTACAATACGATAAACTGAGAAAGAAAAGATTCTATAATACGAGAGAAGAATGCGGAGTTTATTACCTATTAACTCGGATCGGTCGACAATAGAATTTGCGCTATTTAATACATTATGTAATTAATTGATTACCTATTTTATTAAGTAACTACGGATGTACGTGATT